CGGATGAGATAGTGGCTGAAAATAGCACTCATCTGAATCGCTGCTAGAAAGCAGGATCCATACACACTATTCCTAGGAACAGCCAGGCCTCTTTCCAGAGAACTCACAGTTAAACTAGTCCCTGCACCCCTTTCACACAACATTTAAACCCTATTTTTTCTGAAGGCAGGGGTGATACCTACGATTACATAACTGTATCCTATCATACTGCTGAGGGCACTTGTACAACTGTTGTGCGATTCAGTTTTATTCATGCATAAAGCAACACACTTTATTTATGTGTTTATATTTACTCATTTCATTTCATGTCATTTCATGACTGCCATACAGCTGAATCTCTCTGGGAGGTTTACACACTTCCTAAAAACAGTTCCTAAAAACATGCCACTGCTCTTAAAAGCAACTTCAAATCAAGAGCAACTCTGCATGGTTTTAAAAAACGCACATCAGAGAAAGTTTGGTAATTTTCCCCACTATTTCTGTCGCATTTAAGATTAGGCAAAGGTGGTAAATGAACTCTTTTTTACCTTCATTCATGCCATTCAGTATTTCTGTAAGGTTTTCATGCCGGCTGTCATACTGATGTTCCTTCCATGTTTCACCATTTTCACTTCGGAGCACAATCAGTTCCCTTTCCTTTCCTCGCATTGATCCAAAATGAGGGATTTCCACTATTACAGGACTACACCAAATAAAAAGAAGAAGAAGAAGCCATTCATGTTGCACATGCATTTTGGGTTTTGCTAAACATCCCTCACTTACTTAGAACTCTCTACTGGTCATACAGTTACAAGCACACCCATGGGGAAAAATGGTTAACCATTAGCAAAGCTGCAAAACCCTTTCCAATTCTAATTGCAAGTTACTGTTTTCTATTATCCACTCCAGTTATACATGGAGATAAGCACACATGGGAGTGCTGACATACATCAATTTGCACACACAAAAAATTACAAAAATACATATATGCAAATAAAAAGAAAGGGTTCCAGCAGGCGAGCTGTTCCTGTGCTTGGCTATGCATACACAATGCCATGTATTCAGGGCTGTGTGTACTCGGTGCTTAAAAAAATAGAATAAAATAAACGGTCATCGCTTTGTTGCATCAAAGTAACTCAAATTCTGCGCCAAGAAAAGCTGGATTCTGCAACTGGCATGTATTATGCAACTTAAGCTAATTTGATAAGCTTTTCTCTTTGCATAACTTTTTCTTTTAGTCGCAGAAAGGTTTGAGAAATGCAGAGCACTGAGAGGCAGCAGCCTAGTTTCTCAAAATTCCAATTAATAATCTTGCTTGGTTTGTTCTGAGACTTTGTCTGATGTGCTCCACCCAATTCCAAGCAGAACTTTGCAACCACTGCAAATTTGTTTTTAAAAAATGGCTTCACAAGTGAATACCCACGAAGCTGGATTTTGATGTTTCTCTGTAGCATCAAGGTGTGTTGGTGTGAATTCAGACACACAGTCCTGCACATACACAGCACTATTGTTTCAGGGCTGCGCATGTGCTCTGCATTTTAAAAAAAGAAAAGGCGAAAGAATCTGCATTTTGCACCAAAGCTATAAAAATACACTGTAAATAAAAGCTGGTTTAAAAAGGTGCCAAAGGTCTGTTCCCTGACTATGGAAGTTCTTACTCTCCAGACAGTTTCAAGCCCTTCTTTATAGCCACAAGGACTAGAAACTTATATATAAAAAAGGAAGGAACACGGCAAGGGAGATGGATTCTGTGCCCAGTACCACAAGCTCTGCTTTTGCTGACTCTGCACAGAATCACAGAATACACACAGCCCTTTAATCAGTATCGATGGACGATGCACCAGCATAGGCAAAGACAGATTTAAATTCTAAGGCAGAGAAGAGACACAGTCAGGTTTAAGACAAAGCAACCTCAAATAAATTCCAGTTTCTGACATGCCACTTTTATACTGACTTGGATGGGAAGCATGTGCTTTTCGTCAATGAAATCTGAGATGAAATCTTTTAGGTAAACAAATTACTGCCATCAGAAATGTACACAGCTGAAATTTATACAGTTCCATTGAGTTCAATGTCATTTACTCCCAAATCAGCCTGTGCTGGACGAGGCTTTCTGAGCCTGAACACCAGCCGAGGTGTCGCTTTTTCTTTACCACCTTTTGGGTGAATTCATGTTTCTTTCCAAGTACTTTAATATGCAAAAGCCTCTGCAGAAAGTATCAATCAGATATGATTTGGCCCCTTCGCAGAGCATTATCTTATGGGCAATGAAGACTCTCAGGCATCAATCTTGATGTTCAGACCTACTGGCATTAATTTATGGATATAGAAAGCTCAAGAATATAAGATGGAGGATTTCAGGAAATACTTTGGACTTTGCATACATGCCAAAAGCACTGGTATTACCAAGGCTTCCATCTGTGGCAGCAAAACCTAGTGGTTTAATGCAGATGGAACTGCACCAAGCAGGGGGTTGGACCCCAATGGCTTTCCAGGCCACCCAGACCTCAATGGCCTTCCTAGCCCCTTCCAGGATTTCAGGCCATCAACATTCCTGAGATTCTTTACATGCTGGTGTGGGCATTTAATCTAGAATGTATGTTAGGGTGCTAAGCTTAGGCCTTCCTCACATTTTTCTCCCAACCATGATGAGGCTGATCACTCTACGGGCTCACATGTTCTTTCCTTCCTTCTCTTTCTGAAGCTGAACAAATGATAATGTTAACCATGGTCTGTTTCAAGCCAGAGCTTGCAACCAGGTTTAGATTTTCATTGGTTAGGAGAACCAGAACATGTGGCCACCTAATGAGAAGGAAGGACACCCTGGAGAAGAGCCTAATGCTGGGAACGATTGACAGCAAAGGGAGAAGGGGCAGCGGAGGATGAGGTGGCTGGATGGAGTCACTGGGGCAGTGGGTGTGGGCTTGGGTGGATTCAAAGAGGAGGAGGAGGTCAGGAGAGCCTAGAGGGATGTTGTCCATGCGGTCGTGATGGGTCGGGCATAACTTTGCGACTAACAACAACCAGAACATGGTTGATGTGGCATGATACACTAGTCCACACTAGAACCTGATGCTTTGTCCTATGCAATGATGTTGCAGCTTAGAGTAGCCTTCGCCGATTCTCTCTATCTCTGGTTCTAGCTCAGTTCAGAGTCTTGGACTCTCAACCACAAAAGAGAATTGCTCTCGTACTTCCATGGTGTGGGTACTTATCCAAACAGCTACATAATGAGCAACCCGCACTTGGGCTTGTGCAATTTGTTACTCACCAAAACACTTCTGAAACAGAACCAGGAGCTTCTACAACTGTTTCCACATTACGTGGCTGCTGGAGCACATTTTCAACTGAATTTAAAGGACATACCTGATATCACCTGACTGTGTGCCTTCCACCCCTGGCTTACAAGTGCAAATTAAGTCACCAGTGTAAAAAACTATCAGTAACAGTTCTTTGTTTTTCCATGCCATTCCTTAATTTGACGGGCATTTTGCTCAAGGGCAAGAGAATTTTTTGAAGGATTTTGTGACAGAAACATGAGCAGTTATGGATTATGCAGCTTGAAGACATTTAAACAGACAGTATCATTAATTTCCGACAGAGGTTGCACATAGCTTTGCTTTGTGAACTTGAAACAGCAATATCAGCAGGGGCTGGTTTGTTGCTAAAGACAATTTAGGGCACAATCCAGTTAATTTAACCACTTTTGCATCCCACCATTTTCCATGGGTGCATTTAGCATATTCTTAAATAATACCATGGGATGAACAAATGCTAGATTGTGCCTTTTCTATTTCTGCAAAGTGCCGATTGTTATTTTAGTATTTTGTTTCAGGATTTGTTCCAGCTTCTCCAAAGAAAATGGAAACTGGCAATTCCACTTGCTTACCCGACCTTTGCTCACAATTCCTGACTTAGAACATGTATCAGAACTTCAAAACTTATCCTTTGAAAACAATCTCTGCAGGTGAATATGTCAGATACTGTCTCTGTATTAAGACCCACACAATTTTGTGCATGAATATAAACAATACTTACAGAGAAGGCATTAAACAGGTATTGAACACAGAACTTGGAACAACATGGTACATTAAACTTTGAGAGAAGTCAGTCAAAATACTCAAGTCTTTCAAAGATTTTAAATATGACTATTATAGTTTTCTGATTTTTGCCTGTTATGCATATTCAAAATGCACACTTTGTTTTCCAGCCTGAAGCACAACTACCTTTTTATCAGTCTTATTTGGTCAGATCAATTACTGAATTTTAATAATAATTGCCAAATTTGGTCACAGGGGTGGCCAAACTGCCACTCCTCAGCATTTCAAGAAATGTCTTAGAAGATGGTGGCATGTAGAGATACCCCATGACCACAACAGGAAGAAGAGAGTACCCACCTTTACACTAGGGCTTTGTGTGTGTGCAGGAGATAGGATTCTGCATTTACCTTCTTCAGACAGACAAATAGGTTCCTCTTTCTGGTGATGTTCTGCACCAGGAGTTGGCAACCTCTTGCCCACCCATATTTGGCGCTATAGCTCCCATAAGCCTCCAGCCCCCAAGGCCAATGGCCAGGAATTATGGGACCTGTAGTCCAAAACACCTGGAGGGGACCTACCCATCTTCTTGGGAGAGCCTGTTCACAAATGTTGCAAAAAGCAACAACAAATGTTGCCCAAAGACAAAAGAAATGGGCCAAAGTGAATCATGCGATAGCAGTTATGTGACTTTAAACAAAGGAAAAATGAATTACAAGTGTGTGGGTGGGGCAAAATGGATTCAGGCAATGGAGGGGAACAGGGGCAAACATTTTAAAACTCTTAATCCATATACAAATGGCAGCTTTCCTCCTGATGCAAACAGCAACAATGGGAAACAGGATATCTGGGCTGGGAGCATACTAAGGACAAAGGGTTAAATCCTTCTCTCTTTAGACTCATCCTGGCACAGTACTGCTGTTTACTTTTTTTAAAGCAACAGCAAACTATGGCCAATCATGCGATGATCATCATATCTTGTTTAGCCAGAGACAAAGTTAACTGAAAGGTATGTTCATTGTGCTGCTCAGCCGCAAGAAGATTTTGATATTTATTTAGTTAGTTATTAGATTTCTATCCTGTTCTTCCTTGGAAACTCACAAGGGCTTAATAAAGGGCTTGTGATAGTCTTGCATTCAGGCACAGGTTGGGACCTCAGATATTCTCAGACCATTCGTAAAGCCCAGAGGACGAACTATTCAGAGAATTCAGAGTAACAGTCTGTATTCAACATCACATACTACAGATAGATACTACAGAGATATGGTTTCTGGTCTTTTTCAATCCGCAGCAGCTGTCTAAGCAGATAGACTTCTGACCCTCAAAAAAACCTTTTCTACGTCCATTTATTCTCCAGGGAATCTCTGAATATTATAGATGGTATTAGAGAAAATTCCAGGGCTCCCGTCCCCAACCTGGTGCCCTCCAAATGTTTTGGATGACAACTCCCATCAACCTGGACAATTAGCCATGCTGCCAAAGGCTGATAAAACTTGTAGCTAAAAGCTTCTAGTAGCCACCCACTTAGGGAAGGCTGTTCCATAGTATACTTCTAGTATACAAAGGCCATTGACCTGTTACACCCTTTCAGTCAAAGTGTACCCTGAAACATATGATGAGGCTGCAAAAGGGGCAAACGCTATTTTGGGCTCCATTAATAGAAACTGCATTTCCATATCACGTGAAGTACTAGTTCCCCTCTATTTAGCACTGGTTAGGCCTCATCTGGAGCACCGCAACCAGTTCTGGGCATTACGGTTTAAGAAAGATGTAGCCAAACTGGAAAAGGTGAAGAGGAGGGGGAACAAGGATGATCCGGGGCCTGGAAGCCAAGCCCCAGGAGGAAAGACTGAATGAATGGGCATGTTTGGCCTGGTCGAGAGGAGAGTCGGGGGAATATGATAGCACTTTACAAGTACTCAAAAGGTTGTCACACAGAGGAAGGCCAGATCATCCCGGAGCGCAGGACATGGAATAATGGGCTCAACTTGCAGGAATCCAGATGTTGGCTGGCCATCAGGAAGAACTTCCTGACTGTGGTCTCCTTGACCCCTGTAAATCTACTATTCTGTGGACATCCCCCCTTGTATTGGTTACACTATACTGGTAAAGGTCATTGATGGAGGACATGTTCTCCCAGTGTTGTCTACCCATCCTGACTGATCTTCTCACCATGATTATCACTACCCTATTCCATAAGAGATCGTTCGCCCATCAGAGGCTTAGATTTGGCCACCCCTGTTTTAAAAATACCTACTTATTGCAAATGGCTCAATTTTGGCAATGCAATTCCTGCCAGCAGCTGACGCCAAAACCATGTGTAAATACCTTCTCTACCAAAAGGACTAAAATCAAAGGACCAGCACCATGGGTGTAGCAGTGGTTGGTCATTTTTTAAAAGATGTATAGTCAACACAGCTGAAACAGTTAAAATTTGATTAAAACTCAGTAAAAAGCACAGAAGTTATGAAAGCAGGAATGCTTGCAGTGAATTCCACATGCCTAGAAGCACAATATCAATTTGACAGGAGCAGTGCTAGAAGAAAATCAAGCCACTATGATCTGTCTTTCAGTGATGGTTAAATCAACTGAAAGCTTGTTGTTGTTGTTGTTGTTGGTAACTTAAACATGGGAATGACCAAAACACAAAACCAAAGGGAAAAAAAAGCAAGTCAGAACAAAATTCTTTTAAAAAAGAAAAGAACTGTAGACATTTGATATCTTTTTGGATAAACATCCTACCCAATAAATTTTGTTCCTTGAGGCCCAAGCTGCAGGATTCGGCTAACCATGCTCTCGCCCTCATTTAGAGGGGGAGAATTGGTGGGAAGGTGCAGTTTACTGAATTACATCCATGCAGCAGGAAGAAAAACAAGAGGGGAAATTAGGAACAACCTGCCATTCCTGACAGAACTCTCTACCAGGGACCATGTATGGCCACAAACAAAATTTCTCATCTTTTAAGTATATATATTCATGGTGAGAGCCGAAGAGACGGCAAGAGCCAGTGTGATGCAGTGGTTAAGTGCACTGAGCTGGGACTCAGGTGGCCTGGGTTCGAGTCCCCGCTCGGCCATGGAGCCAGCTGGGTGACTCTGGGCCAGGCACTGACCCTCAGCCCAGCCTGCCTCACAGGGTTGCTGTTGTGAGGGGGGAACAGAAAGGGGAAGGAAGACTACGACAGCCACCTGGAATTCCTTGCCAGAGGAAAACAGGCAGGGGACCAACGTAATGCCCGAGCACAGACCCCTCCATCACGGTGGACCGCTTCTCTTAAGGTTAGCGCTGCTGTGGGCGTTTGTGTTGGCAGATTGTTCAGATGAACAGCGACAAAATTCATATCCAGTTGCTCCTGCTCCTCCCGGTGAAGACATGCAGCTCTCAAGAATGAGGGAGCAAAGAGGGGGCCTTTGAAGTCAGTCGCATCTCAACATCACGGGGCCCTAAGGTAGCAGGGCTGCCAGATTCCGCCACTGTATACAAAACGCATCTCCTTTTTACATCCTTGGAGATGAGCCAAGATTAACAGAGAAGATTTTCGTTTACTGATCCCCCCACCTCCTTCAACTTGAAGCCGGCAAAATTCTTCCTGAGACCATTCAGAATTCTGCCCAGGGTAAAACGACTGTCCCAGGCTGCTCCCCTGACACATCCCCCTGCTATGGAGTCAAGGCTTTTTTAAAGTTATTCCAATAGGAAACGCATAGATCTAGATGATAAAGGAAACAAACACAGATGCAGTATGGAGCCAGCAATACAATTCACAAAACAACTCACCCTAGGAACTGTGCACCCGACGGCCCCATTTCCACCAGCCTACTAGCCAATCCTTCTCCTTCAACCATGGGTGGAGGGCTGGCCAGTTTATGCCTCTTCACCAAGCGGCAGGTGATGCGGGTGGGTGCTGTGCATTTACGCGGCGGAATAATGATCCTCATGCCATGATGACGGCTGCCCCTCATTGAACCCCCACGTGCATCAACCATGAAACTAACCAGAAAGCTGCAGGAGGGGAAGGGGGGAACAAGAAAAGGAAGGTCGTTAGGTCGAGGTGGCTGGGTGGCTGGTTTTCCGAACACAGATGTCGACTAAAACCAAACTCTCACAATGAAACTGGTGAGAAAGAAGAGAACTGGAAGGAAACAGCGACACTTAACAATGCAATTCTATACATCATGTCTATTCAGAAGGAAGCCCCAAGGAGCCTAATGCTGCAGTGCTAATTCCACATACCTGGGAGTAAGTCTCGCTGAACTCAGTGAGGCTTACGATTGAGTAGACATGCATAAGATTGTGCTCTTGCAGTCACGTGGTACCTACCTTCTTGGCCAAAGGTGTGCATGCCGTTTGCAGCATGTGTTCACCTTCTGATTTGTATTTTAGTCATAATCATGTAAATTGAGCTGCACAACCTTCTTTCGGCCCCGAGGGCGACTGGAGATGTTGGCTCGGGGACCGTGGACTAGACACACGCGGCTCTGTCCTTGTGAGTAGCAGTGACAGCAATCGGTAGAAGAATTGCTGAGGGATGCATTAGAGAAGGGTAAGGCACCTGAGCAACGCCATGGGCAAGAGCGGCAGAGGTGTGTAAATGCCGGCCACAGGTTGCGCATCCAACAGGCATGGTCCTACTGTTTTACTGGCAAGATGGACATCTAGCCAAAAGGACCATGCTCAATGAAGGGGGAGACTCTGAACACTGCACTCAGCCACCCTGAGAGCGAGCTGCCGTGGGCTGGTTGGTCACCTGCGAACCCAAGAAAGGATAGGGTGTTGCATGGCTTTGCACAGCTTGATTCCTTCCACCAGTTACTGGCACAGATCCCAGGAGCTCTTTTGGAAGAACTTCTGGCTTCTTTGGTCCTTACTCCAGCACCCTTTTTGCAGTTGGGTTGCTGGGGTCGCCAGCTCTGGAGGGACACCTCGCAACCACACACACAATGGATTGCCAAATAGAACTAATTTTCTGAGACTTATGGACATGGCGCCGCACTGACTAACTTTAAAAAATTAGGGGTCCTGCTCATTTTCTTTTTATTATCCAATGTGGAGGGGTGAGTTTTCCTAGAGAAGCTGAAGAACAGGATGAATCTGGGAAAGACATGGATGAAAGGGGGGTATGGAATTACTGCTCTCAAGAGCAGACAGGCTGTTTCCAAAAAATGTCCTTGCACTCATAAGGGCTCCCTTGGATATGATACAGTGGAATCTGCAAGGAAGAACAAGCCATGGAGATCAGCTGAAAGGTGACCATCCTTTGGGAGTAATGGAGAATCCACCTACCCACTGTAGCTTGCTCATTCTCAAGGTGGTTTTACCATGGTGTGAACTCATCCCCGGGTCCTCCAGGCAGCTTGTCTGTGAAAATAAGCCACCCCCATGGGAACTGCACTGGATTCAGATCTCACCCACCACTGTGGCTTGTTACGTCATGCATCCAAGGTCACTGATATTTGTCAAATCTACCTTGGTTAACAATGGTTGTTTCTGCTCACTGTTAGTGTATTATTCATGCACTGATCAGCAATGCTGCAGTGTTAAAATGTTGTGTAGTATCCTGTGTTTTGTAAGCCTGACATGCACAACACCACCGTTCAGCATTATGGTAGAAAATTATGCTATTAAACAGCAACAAAAAGCTCCCTTCTGCCCTCCACCATTTTAGTATTGAAATTCTCCAGGTCTTTCAAGTACAGAGTAGAACATGAAGGGTAAGATTGCCAAATTGGTTTTAGAAACAGAATCTAATTTCTTTGTTCTTAGGCTATGATTACCCTATGACTGGGCCTACGTGACACAACAACCCACTGAGGTTTGTTACTTGTGAGGTTTGTCATGTTGTGTGAACCCGGACCAATTCCTACAAGGTGGATTGTCTGAGGGCACAAGCTACCCCGACAAGCCATAGCTGTCTTCACAGGTACTCACAATGGCTTATCAAGATGTCCAAACCCAGGTGCTGACCCTATCCTGGCTAGTGAGGACTGGCTTTTGCCTAGCTTGGCGAGAGTGGGAAAACTCCTCTGCATCCCTTGCCCAGCTTGCCCAGGAACCCACCAGTGCCACCACAAGCGTCCAAACGGCACTAGCCAGCACCTGGCACTTGCTTCTGCAAGCCAACTTCTCTCCGTCCAAAGCTTCCCATCGCCCTCTTCTGCACTTTCCCCCTCTCCCCCAGACAGCCAGTTCTCGTGATCCTCATCTGGACCAGTGACTGTGGAGGCAGTTGGCATGAGCAAGAAGCTTGGAACATCACCACCTGGCAGCACGCGGAGCGCTCCAGCGGACGAAGGAGGCCCTCTCGGCAGAAAGCCACCCTCCACTATGAGTAGAGGACAACAAACGAGACCGCGCAGGGGGCAGACTGGGAGTTCTCCTCCTCCTCCTCCTCACACATTTGCTCTTAGGTCCAGCATGCCTGAACAGGGCCTTCAGCCATTTTCTTCAGGACTTCATCCCATGCATGTTCCACACCCGTAGGACACTCAACAGAGTAGATCTCCACCCACTGGTAAAACAAGTGCTTTTTCAAGGAGAGGCTCATGGAAAATCCAGTGGAACTCTCTTGAATGCGGTTGGGCATTGAGTCAATATTGCCAGCTAGAGAATGGAAACACTGACATAAAAATGCCAGCTAAGCTATTAAGCAAGAGCAAAAAAAGGCCTTGATCACAGACAGGGAATGGGCAAATAACTCTGCTGCAGTTCTCTGTGTCAGGCGCTTGATTACTGTGCTCTGCCTAGCGAAGAACAATTGGCCGGATTCAGGGTGAAATCAAGGGCATGAAATCTTCCTTACTGAGCACAGCCAACCATGGTGTATGGTTGGATCCAAAAGTTTCCTTCCTCTGAGAGACTCTTATTCCAAAGGAAGGACTTTACCTGTTGAACAAAGGCTCTTACCATTTATGGAAAGTAACATTTGTATCCAACCTGTACCCTCTCACTTCCTTACTCTCATCCTTCTGGAAGCTGAGGAATACCTTTGTGTTTACAAAGACTTACAAAGCGTGGGCAGTTCTCGTGTTGTTTTAATTTTTTCTGGTCTTTTAACATTTAAAAAAAATATTGTTATTCCTGTAGATCGTGTGTGTTCGCTGCTGCTTTTGCATCTTGGAGGGGTCTTTTTATTTGTTGAATATTCATTTGTTATTCTGGAGTCGATGCACTAGGCCCCCATTTGAACTGGGACCACCCCATGCCGATGGAGGTCTCCCCTGCGTTTTGAGTGCCTGCATTAGGTGGTGGGAATCTGGGGAAGCCAATGCCTTGAGAGAACATCTGTACAGTCTAAGCAGATGTTCCAACTGTATTCCCTGGAACACCTCTGCTTTTTAAAGTTTGTCTTGTCCTGCAGAGTCCATGAGGAGTAATTTACAATGCCCTTGTTTGCATATTATACTAAATTATGGTTTGGTGTTGAAGGAACAAGCCTCAGGCTTGTGTGATTCTCCTTCCCTCTGAGGTGACTGTGAGGAGAGCAGCAATTCTTGCATTTATTTAGATTTTGTTAATAATAAACTATGGTTTAATAAAACAAACTAGCTCTGACAATCATGACTTGAACTTGGCTTGTTACAATAAATCATAATTAAAAGAAACCACAGTTTTTGGGTTGAGAGCGTGGTAAGTTAAATATGGAAGCGGGCATTTTTGTGTCCCTCCTCACAGAGTGCTTTGGCTATTGGGTGGTATAAAAATAAAATCAATAAATCAGTAAATACGATGAAGCCAAGGAAAGTCAGCAGGCATACTTGAACAAGGCCATGCTGCATTGGTGAAACTGACCTAACCAGAAGCTCTTCTGCAGCATCTCCCAAGAAAACAGAAAAAGGCACTAGACCTTGTGTGTGCACTGAATTTCTTTTTGTCCTTTTCGCGGGGAAATATAGCACAGTTGGAAAACAAGCGCCGATGAACAGCTTAGGGCTAATTTGAACAATCCCTCAAATGGGAGAAGATTTGGCAGAACTGAATTGCTTGTGCTAATCCTTCTACCTAACCTTTGCCCATAAAGAGCCATTGTACCTATTCCATTTATCGTAACAGGATATGGGGTTTTACCTGTTTCACTGATCAGGTTTTTACATTTTGGTTTTCTTCATTTTACACATTTCCCTAAGGCATCAGCCATGCTTAGATCGGCTGCTGCGTTTCCTGTGCCTAAAATTCCACAGTAATCTATATACATGTTTGTATCTTTATCTGTATCTATATCTAAACAGCTTCCAACATTCCATCACTCTCTGTCCTGACCAACAAAATCCACTATGGGTTATGCAAATACATTAGCAGCAGAAGGAAAAAGTTCAACTAAATGGTATTTCCAAAATACACCGCTTCATTTTGTCCCCTGGGGATGAATAATGTTCATCCTACCCCGCCCCCATGGGGGAAGAAAGTGTGGTACCTGGGGGGCAAGCATGCCCCCCATCCCATGTGGCTCATCTTTTGTCTACAGCGGGCACACTGGGGTGGGGGGAGGTATGTGCGTGTGCCATGCAATGCAGTACATTCCACAGGAACTGAAGCTCATTTTCTTCTTTGCACACACACACCTGCTCTCATGAGGCCAACAATTGTGCCAGTAGGAACCAGAGTGTTTTTAAGGTTCTTTTTCCCTTTATACTTCAGATGAGAGCATGCACATGTGCACAAATAATACAAGAAGCTCTAAATTTCTTTTTAGTGGAAATTCTAACGGTTCAGAGGATCAGCTGAGTGCAATCCCATTGCATGACTATGTGCTAAGCTTACACCATCTGTCCAACCAGTGGATACAGGCCGCGTTATGTCATGGTAGCTCCCTGCAGCAATTCTTTAAAATGGGTCCTTCTCGATCTTTGATCACCTGTTCGCACAGTGACTTGCTCGTACAAATCGCCCTTCCCTCCCTCCTTATATTTTCTGAACACTTCATGCACAATTTGTATGAATACAATTAGTACTGGATGATTGTCTAAATTATTATCAGGTTAATGACATGACAGAACTATTTCTAAAGCACAATGCTAAAGGCTAAAAAAGTGGAATGTTGACAACAAAAAGGTGGAAAGGATTGGGAGGAAATTGGATGCACTAGAAACATCTAGACACGTTTCAACTGTGGGGGAAAATAAACATATATAAAAGCAAAATGAGGTGTCACGGACAATATCATCACCTTGAATCATACTGGGGGAGTGGAGAGGAATAGCTGTAAAATAATTTAGAAAGCAAATTGGAAAAAATTAATGTGAGATAATTAGAAGCAAGCAACAGAAAATGTCAAGTATAAGCAAAGGCAAAATAATAATAAAAGCAGTATGTTTTAGTTTCATCTTGGCAGGGTGTTGGTGGAGATTCTCCTTTTTTAATGACCACTTTTGTATAATACACAGTATACATTTCATCGCATTGAAAGTTTTTGCTAGCAATTTCTATAAACATTTATACAACTGCATATGGAAGCAAGCAAGTATTATACTAACATTTGTGCTAGCCAAGGTAATGCACCCTTCTTTGAAAATGAGTTATGTTAACAGGTACCTTTATGCCTGCAAATTGCAGTGGGCTTTCAGCTGGTAAATATGCCAAAGCATCTCTTTATAAATCTATAAATTCAGTATCACAATGAACACATATAATGGATATCAAAATGCACCAGGGTGATCTCATGTAACCAAATATTGATCCTTTTGAGATCCATGATTTTAGAATTTTTCTAGCCTTACTAGCTCAGCTTTTATTTAAAAAATCTGCTGTCTTTAGCTGCATAAATCATAGCACAAAAATATTTTGGAAACTTACATGTGCATCTAAAACACATGTCCAAATGGTTAAATGATTCACGCAAAGTTAGCTCTTAGTAGTAACACTTCTGCATTTTCACTGTGCCTTTCTGCAGAATGCGGGTATTAAGGAAAAATTAAAGCAAAGTTCTGTAGTGCCTGTCACACACAGTTTGTAATCCAACATACAATGAAGCAGTAAATGACATCACCTGCAACCTCTTCATGGTTGCTACAGTGCCTAGTGGAACATCAGGTCGGTCCAGAGAAGAGACAGTCAGTGCACGGACATCACAATAAAGGATGGCTTCTTGCGACAGCAATAGGCCTGCTGCCCCTGGACTTGCATGTTTCCCCTCCACTTGTTCCTCCAGCATGGTCACAAAGAGGAGATAAGAAGGTTTTGCTTCTGATTTCAGCGAACCAATTCAGTGCTCTGAACAAACCCAAAACTATAATTGACTTTAAGGAATGGTTGAAACAAGCCCATCCATAAACAAGCCAGTTTCATAAACATGGATTTGAAGTTGGCTTATTTCAAAGAACCATAATTAATGTAACTCCAGTTTGTTGGATTCATTCAAAATAAAAACTAGCTGCAGTTAATCAAAAATGGAAAGAGCAGCTCCAAAAAAGCAGACCTCCTAGCAGCTGTGCCAGAGCTGGGGGGAACAAGACAACCGAAGTCCAGGAGTAGCCTTGGCTTGTTTCTATCACATCAAACCATCATTTCTCATGATATTAAGAATGCAAACATCTCTACCTTGGACCAGGGAGAGCAGGGCTTGAATAATTATGGGAGTTCAGGGGCTCTGTTAACTTATACCAAATTATGCATTATTTTCTTCTGTGGGGGCCAGGGATAGATACATGTGTTTAAGCCACATATAGTGTGATCGTAACAGTCCCATTGTGTATTCAGTTTATTCAGTTTGCTGAATCTGTGCACAGGAATTCAACATGGAATCCTATAGACAGCTCTAGAGGGAAAAGCCCTTGGGTTTAGTGGCCCTTGTTCAAAGGCGTGCACAGCAGGGACTGGGAACATGAAGCCTTTTCACCAGCCACCGTGCTAAGGGATGGGGAGAGCTGCAAGCTACAGCCCAAGCACAACTGGATGGCCACTGGCTGCACAGGAGTGCAGTATTTTCATTTAGTGGAAACCTTGCCAGGGCATCTGAACGTTTCTCATTCAATCTCCTGTTGGGTTTCCAAGGTATTCCCCTCCTTTGGCAGGACACCGAAGTGCAAAGGACCGGAGCTCAACTGCTTGTATATAGTCACAAAGGATATCAAACAAGTACAAAAGGAGAGAGGAAAAGATAGCTGGAACGGGCATATTCCAGAAAAGGGCAGCCACTAAAGGCAGTATTAGTGTGTTCCTCTGATATGTCCAATTCCTCTTTTCATAGAAGGCTCTCCAAATGTTGACATGCTTTGGCTTCCCAGCCACTGCAAGGGCAGGAATTTGACTTATTAAATTAATGACTCAGGAAGCAGATGAGTTATTAATACCTGCAGTCCCTACATTCTAGCAAGTTAATATTCAGTGGGTTACATGGCCATAAACACCTTTCTGAAATGAGTTCATTTGCTTGTCGCCACACCTCGCCCACATCCCAGTCTCTGTCATTGCTGAGGATTAACCTTTTGGAGAATCTAAGGTTGATGGCCCTTTGGGGACATCTCAAGGTCACAGATGTGCTTCCCAGTGTCATAGGAATCTGCACTCTTTCTTGCTGTTGTTGTTGTTACAACTCTTTCTAGTTAGCCTTAAAAGCTTCAGGTGGGAGCAGCCAAGATTCCCTCTGAAGAGGCTTCCGCCTCACTAGTGCGCTACACTCTTTTAATGTAGAGTCATCTATTTTCATATGCTAAAGGGAGTGTCAGCTAAAAATATGGATGTTATCAACACTGTTGGGATCATACTCTGGATATATTTTCTTGCAGAGACTCACTTCTCCTCTACACAATTGAATGCAATGTTAACTGTACTGACAAGTTTGGGGACCATTCTGTTTTATTTTCTTGGAATAAACTGATTATTTGGACTAAAGTAGAGAATCTTGGTAAAAGGAACAAGGAACATTCATGAAGAAGTACAACAAATGCACATATTGGCTGAAAATTTTACTTCTAGGTGCAATATTAATTTTAATTGTAGGTGTAATATTATCTATATCTCTCTCACACACAAATGTTGTTTCTATTTTTGCTTAACAAGGAAAGATACTGCCAATGTGCATTTTGAAGTTCTTCCTTAAATTATTTTTCTCCTCTAAAGTCAAGAGACCCCATAAATTCAAAAAGACTTAAATAACAGATTAATATTGTAAACGTATTACAGTTCATATTCTTATTTAGTAGCAGGAAAATTATTGTACTTATACCTCTAATTGTAAACATGTTTTTGAAGGAAAGAAAAGGAAATGAAGCACATCTTGCAATTATACTATGTGCATTTAAATATTTAAAACACTAAGAGAGATTTGTTATTAGCATTTAAACAACAGTTTGTTTCTTGTAACTGTAATGAAACTTACAAATCATTAGGTAACTCATATTGTGTTAATCCTGCTTTAACCTGACTGAAATCCAGGGAACCCTCGCACTTGAACAGTGTGCAGATAGATTTCTCTGGACTGCACTCTTCATAATTGCTTACAAGTATTTTGCCTCTCTCAATATGAGATGCAACTTTCTTTAAATAAGTAAATGCAGCATATGTTGGACTCACCAGTTATAAAACACCATGGCCTGTGCCCCACAGTATTTTCTACAATCCCAAAAGTGATCACAACGAATCACTTTCTGCTCTCCAGTTTGCTCATATAGATCTGGCAGGACCCAAAGAGCCGAACCCGTGGAGACTTCTCTCTCCCCGCTGGCTGGCAGCACCGTGTGCACTTTGAAAAGTTGCTTCTGTTGAGTAGGACTCAGTGTGGCACAAGCACCGTGCCGGGAGAGCGCAAACGCTTTCCCTCACCACGAAAGAAAGCCTCTTCCTGTAGCACACGGCTGTTTGGTTCCTGGTAACTGATGGATGCCCTTCTTGCCATGAGTCTGCGACTTGCGTTGGGAGCCAGAATGAGGAATACATGCAGACAAGACCCCATGGCACTGATGAGAACCTCAACCGCGAGTTCAGAGCCAGGAATCAAACTGAGGCAATATGGCAGGCTGTCTCTTGGAAAATGTCACCTTTTTAGGATTTACGATGCTTCATCACAAGCAGACTCATGATGCATTTTGAGGCGGGAGCAGTTCGTTTTGCAAGCTACAAAAATGGGGCTGTGGAATTCAACAAGCTACTCCCCTCCCCTCCCCTCCCCTCCCCTCAGCCCACCCACAGCGCAGCTCCAGGCAGAGCAACAACAGGGAATCTTTCAAGTTACTTACCCGGAATGGACGGGGCTGGAGACAAGATTGACATTGTCCAAGGTATCTGCTGCCCAGCTATAGTGCCTGAGCGAATCAGAATCAAATTCTCTGGGGAAGGTCAGGTGCTTCAAAGAGATGGACAAGAAGATATGCCAACTCAGCACAGCAAATTAAGTCAAACATTTCAGCACACAGAGATCAAATGCGCCCTTTCCGGAATTCATAACAACGGTGGTGGTAAATCGCTCTTATACTGCTTTGCTGTTTTTACATTTAGTTCCAAATGTTTGTATTTCTGATCAGATTTTATCACATCTTATTCTATTTTTTATCAACTTTTGTAAACTGCCCAGAGAGCTTTGGTTGTTGGATAGTACAGAAATGAATGAACGATGATGATTCTTCAGGGTACTTTTATAATCCTTATTTATGCAGCCACTGGAGCATCTTTCTGATGTACAACCCACTTCATTTTTTGTTTGTTTGTAGGTATGTATTTATTTATGGCATTTACATCCTACCTTTCCTTCAAAGAGCTCAGGATGGTGTAAATAACTCTGGCTCCCCACTGTATCTTCAAACCATGTTCTGTGTATATATTTACTACTTACTGTAGATATTATGTCAAATGTGAAGAGAGTCATGGGTCATCATAAATAATTATGGTCCCGTGGTCTGGGCACACCTGGAGTTGATCCAGACTAGGGATTGGGTGAGCAGGTCTATAGGAGAAACACTTGAACGGCCTTGAACAATCTTTGCAAAGCTTGCAAAGCAAACAAGTGAGAACAATTCCTTGAAGGAACTCACTTTCAACGCATAAGTTTTCCTCTACTGCATCCGACTGCATACTAGCTAATCTTCAGAAGGATCAACTCTGCCTTGAGTCCAAATACTATTTATACTGTTAAGCCAGTGCAGAAAAACAGCTCATATAAGAATTACACAATGATTGCATCCATACAACACGGCAAGCAACCCTGTGTAGTTACCATGGTTCATGGTGTTTTACCATAATCTACACAACAGAAAATCATGTGGTTACCACATTACTGTGGTGCCCACAGCATGGCTCATGTTTTCAAACTTCTGCAGCTATTAAAAATAAACTGTTTCCTACTATATTTAAAGCATAAATAAAGATAGCAAATGCCACTCCGATTACAAGTGTCTGTCATTATCCAAAATCCAGAGCTGGGCAATTCCTTTCTTAGAACCAGCTAAAACGACAAAACAGATTGTGCAAGTTTTCAATTTCTCCAAACCTCTTCATTATTATTCGGTCTCTCAGCTCACGGACTGTTTCAAAAACATGCTTAAAGTTCCCATGCCAGGAATAAATGACAAGTTCCACCTTCGAATGTGCTGAATGAGCAGTCATGTTTAAGGTGGCAGGCTGAACTAATGCAGGTTAGGACATCTCACTCTTCATTTCCAACGTGATTTTCAGGATAGAAAATCTATGTTACCTGAAATATTGCGGTTTCTAAGTTTCTCCTACTTCCGGTGTTCCCATTTTAAATTTTTGGAAAGGCCGACCAGATTCTTCCCCTTCAGTCCATTTCATGCATTGCACCTTTGGAACCCTGCATTCAGCACATGGATGTGGCTTGCCCTCGGCATGCCTGCCCGTCTGATCACGGTGCTTGAAAATCTAGTTGTCCTATTTCCCCTTTCCACTTGTTGAAGTCTACTGCATCTTAAATTGAATGCCCATGAAGCCGATGTATCACACAAACTTTAGATCAGTTGTAACAGTCATGTTCCTTTTATCTACCTAAACGTTTCAACCTGTCTTTCATCCCAAACTGAAAATAGTTACCAAGCTGCATACAAATAACAAAACGTCATGCAATCAACAATAAAACGAGAAACAAAACTCCTACAAGAACTGAAACTCAACTGAGAGAAAGGTCTGGGCGAAAGAAGGGCATGTTATAGTTCACTGAGAGGCGGTTTAGGAAGGCTCCAATTGCATCTTGCTCTCGGGAGAAAGAGAGCACCGTAATTTTGCAGGCAATTTTGAGCTGAATGAGGGTTATCTTTGAGAAACCGCTGTGATCAACACTGGGGACTACGCATCACAGCCCATATGGACCATCCCTGTATAGATGTATCCCTATATCAGAATGCACCACCCTAATTAGCATTTCATAATTTTACAAGACAACAGAGTCACTATCAAATACATTGACCTGACCACAATAGCAGAATAGATACGACCTCTTTACAAATATAAGAGGGCTTAAATCCTGTTTTGCCAATCCTGCCAAAATCAAAGTCAGGAACACCAATTCAAGCATACTGAAAAGCTAATGCAGTCTTACTAGCCTGTTCAGCACAACAGGAACACAACCTATTGCTGTCCAGGTCACTGCACAAGAATGCTACATCTAAACTTGTCATGAATGCCCCTTCCTAAATTCCTTTCCTTAGAGAATTAAGGACTCTCTCATATTTCTTAGAAAACCTTCTGCAAAAAAATTCCCATTCTGCACTACCAGCAAGCACTGGACATCCAATTACAATATACATTGATTTTTTTGTCAAAAGACATGCAAAAGAAACATTTACTTATCCTCAAATATAACCTGACAGGTGTGAAAATGAATGGATGTTTTCAAGTGCATTTCCACCATTTGTGAAGTACAGCATTCAGCTGATGTGATTTCTTCTCCTCCCACTCACTAAAACAGCAGTTGAAAGAAGTCTTCATTCTGCCCTCAGGCCCTCAATTCAATATAGGATATCAGTAAGGAAAGAGAGAAAAGTAAAAGGCAAGCAGGCCAGAAACTGAAAAGGCAGTTGGAAAAAGATGCATCTTCAAGCATCATTTCCAAATATCAAGCGCTGATGCATTATGTATTTCAACAGAAAAGTCAGGAACACTATTCTACAGGTATTCTACAGGCAGGGAGTGACAGAATATAGATAAGCAATCAAGTAATACTTTGGGGAGTGAGCTGAAGCAGTTCCCCAAAATTCTATTGCTGGGAAAGTTCACCATCCTTCCCATCAGAGGAAGAGCCCACTGCCAGTCCAGGTACAGGGAGGGGCAGAATACAGAGCCCCAGATATTCTGGGCTTCAGCTCCTGTACGTTCCCTGACAGCGTGGCCAATGGCCAGGATTGGAGGAAGTTGAAGTTCAGATCCCCTAGAGAGCTTCTTTCTGCCTCGTACGTTCAGGGAACAACAAAATTCAGAGGCCAGTGACAACTCCCAGAGAACATGTCGCCCTGGTGCATGCACCGCTTGGGGAGTCTGCAAAACTGGGAGGGACTGATACCTGCAGACAGGTCATATCCCCCATCTTCAGAATCTCTACTGGAACCCTAAGAGCAGCAAGCCCACACCTGAAGGCACAGTGCCCATCTGGCAGCATAGGTCTTCTGTCATGGAGCTCAACCATGGAGGAGGAACCAGGATGGATACATGTGTCAGATCAGAGCCCCAGGAAGAGGTAGAGCAAGAAGGCTGGTGCAAAAACTCATCTTGCTTCATGCATGGTCAGATGTGAGTCATAAGCTGGACCACAGCTCACCCACAACTTTGGCTCCCTGGCCACAGACCTGCTGGTGTGTTCCTGCGCTTTGCCACAGGACTGGAATCCAAGCCAGGCCGTAACAGTGAGCAGGACCAAGACTGCATGAACACAGCCACTCAGAGACCACGGATCAACTGTGACATCACCACTTTCAATGATGTCGCAATGCTGAGTGTGAGGGCAACAATGTGTCCTGCATTAAGTCACATGAGTGATCAGCACCCATCAGCAAACTCTTTTCAACACAGTGCCTCCTGAATATGTAAACACTTCTTTTCTATTCACAGTGCTCCACCAAAGATTGCCAGAAGTGGACAAAAGAGTTCACAAAAATCACCCAGTGCAAGAAAGGACACATAAAACCACTCAGTATTTATTACATTTCCATACCACCCAACAGCCAAAGCTCTCTGGGCAGATCTCAATGCTTAATATGCACAGTATGGAGTAGGTTATATGAATCTTAATTTTGACAAACCAGTCCTGGTGTATTATGACACCAGGCACCTGGACAGTATCCAGGCCCAGGAGAATGAAGGGACCTGAGAAGTAAACAGCTCCAACTTCTGGCTCTTGCTGCTCAGAAGATGTTTCCCAAAATGGGAGAGCTTCTTCAGATTGCCCCAAACCCCAAGCTGTGAGGAAGCTACAAAACTGCTGCTCTACCTCCCTGGTATCATGATAGCTTTTTTTCTCCTTGCTGTCTTAAATGCTTAGGAGAAAGGAATCCAAGTCTGAACAAAGGGGACTGGCAGCAAAGCAGCCAAACACTGAATTAGCAACACCATTTCCAGCAAGAGACCTACCCTGCTGATGCCAACTCTTCTCTTTCCATCCTGAGTTCGAAAGAAAATACGCAAAATGCCAGAGAGAGAGAGAGACAGACAGACAGCCATTGGGTAATGACTTGAAAAGTAGTGAAGAATATGTGCTTATCCTTTTCCCATCTGCTCTGCTTTTCTTTGCAAAATAAATACACTCTTGTGCTGCATTCGCCTTACATTTCCAAACATGCTTGGAATGGAAGAATGGAAGATGTTTTTTGGGAAACAGGTGGGGGAAAAGTTAAGCACCTTTACCTTCTCCCTCTGTTCCAAAAGGAAAACTAAAAGGTTGCTGTGATTACATCATGTGCATTTCATGTAATCTTGCTAGGCTCTCATTCCTTACTTTTTATTTTTCAAACATGCAAGCTCTTCTTCCAAAGGAAACTAAGTATCTCATCTGTAGATTGCAATCTTATTACAATCCAATCCGACTGGTTTTCTTCCAGGCATCCAGTGAGAGAACAACATTCCATTCTGGTTTGCTGCACACAGAGGGCTTTCCCCTGCTCAGCGCTGAAATATATTCCTTTTCCCAGTGCTTCTGAGGCGAAGGCACTGCTCTCTGATCAGCAGCTGATCAGAGACGAGCTTTTCCTTGAAGCGTAGAGAGGGAGGGCCCATGGCTGGAGAATGAGGCTGCTGAGAGATTTGGTCCTGCTTCCTCCTCAGTCTGGTTCTGCCTGCTTCTGAGTAGACATGCAGGGGCTTTCCCCATTAATTCGGAAATAGATGTGATGCTCATGCTTACTTCTAAGTAGGCATGCAGAGTCCACCAGGTGTCTGGGATGCTATTTCAAAGTCCAATTGAGTGATCTTTTCCTACTTATCTGGATAAACATCCAGAGGTCTGTCCAGCCTATTTGAAAGTAGGCAGAGGTACTTTTATAGCTTCCTACTATAAATTGGTAGTAATAGAATGTGGGGGAGAGGGGCTGGGTTTTTCAGTCTTGTTCACTTTTGTCTGGTTCCTAAACACTTCTCCAAAATGGAATGTACTTCGTGCACCAATAAATGTTCTCTACTCTTGCTGGGTAGGTTCCAACAATGGAGCAAGATAAGCCATAAGAAAAACATCGGCGCATATGTTTGTTTATATACAATGTACCAAGCTCTAGAGGCAGAGGGAACTCACCGGATCCTTGGATGGCACCAGCAGCTCTTCGATCATCATGCTGTCCCGGGCGTAAGAACTTCTGTTCAAAGTGTAGGACCTATCCGAACTGAAGGAGCGGAGGCTGGTTGTATTTACAATTTAGCACAGAGTGTGAGGATGACAATGAGATGAACAAAAGAAAAATTAATGCATGCAACTTCCAGGGAACAAGATCACAAAACAAGTGTAACTAATGAAACAGGATGTGAAAAGATGCTAAAACTGAACTAGCAACATGGATTTTTAGCATGGATCTTCCCCGAATGAGGTGGACCTCTGTTTGACACAGAGAGCTCCTTTTAACAGAAAAAGGGAACCCTTGGAGCCAACCCACGGATGGCAATCCAGTGCGCACCTTCCTGAGAGCAAGCCCCACTGTTCTCAGGGGATTAACTGCTAAGTAGGCAGGACTGCCCCGATGGGGATTACATCCATTTAAAGTCAGGCTACGGTAGAGCTGGCTTTCGGATAAATGTATTCAGACTATATGCTCAAGTTATGCGGGGCTCCAGTGCACTTAAGATTTATGACATTATCCAAAAATATTGTAAGCCCGACCCCCAACCTGGTGCCCTGCAGACACTGGCTGGGGAAGCCTGGGAGTTGAAGGGTATCTGGAGAACATCAGGCAGTGGGCGGTTGCCCAGCCTGCAAAGGGCTTCTCCGCCCTTGACTGCCACACAACTCGGATATACGCAAAGCCTGTAATTTCCACCACTGCAAAGATGGTAGGTTTCTCTCCAACAAGTCGCAATTACAGACAACGGGAGTCTTTTCAGATAAGCAGCTGCCAATCACAGATAAGTGGAATGCAAATGCCACCTAGGCAGAGGTCCCAGGTTAGTCTGTACTAATCCCAAGTTCAACAGGCTCTCCTGCATAAGTAAGATTGTATCAGTCTCCATTACCCAACAGAATGCTGAACAGAATAGTCCGGAAGGAAGCAAGAGGGAGAGGTTCTGGATGTATGCATGTCTGGTGACTGTCTTGGAGATGCTGGACTCTATATGGGTGTTTCCACATGGTTCATTTTGTGGCTGGGCAGGAAGCACATTCAGGTCCTGCAGTTCACACAAAGCTGCCTCTACCTGAGTCCTGCAGGTGAGGTTGACCAGGAGTGGTCTCATGAAAGTCTCTTGTTTTGCTGATGCAACGCCCTAGATTTAGCCCGAGTCCCTTCACCTCAGGCACAGTATTACTAGATGGCTTTCGGTGAACGACTGTTCTCTTAGGCTTGACCCCTGAAATGTGGGGTTAATAGGTGACTTATCTTTCATGGCTGTTGTCAGGATTAAAGTAAAGTATGGGAAGCAAGTGGTATTCTAGAAATGCACTAAATAAATACTGACAGATATCTGTCTGGCTGCAAATTTTGACTTTAAAGGGGAAAAAAAGGAGATGAGGGAAAATGCTGAGTCTCTGTGTCTTGAACCCTAACCCTGGAAGCTACATAGTGCATGGGTTAGAAAACATGCCACGCATTCAGACATGCTCACTGTTGTGACTGAAAAGAAAGAAAATATCAGAACAATCATGTTCAGCAAAACAAAAATGCAGCTAGTTCTTTTTCAATGTACGGAGCTCTTAACAGCTTACGACATGCACTTTGCACTTTGGAGTAAAACTTTTACAAGGCTGCATCCCAATATATAAAGTTCTTAGACTGCTTCCCCTGGTGCTTGGCTCCACCAAGCTGAACAAGAAGCAAAGCTGGGCTCGGGATTATTAAAAGCATCCACCTTTTTCAATACGTAAATGTAATGAAATCCATTCATATGTTATGTTGCAGCAACCAAAATAGCATTATCTAACATGGAACACAATGGAAAACTTCACAACACATCACAATGCTGAGTAAAAGAGAGAGAGAGAGAGAGAGAGAGAGAGAGAGAGAGAGAGAGAGAGAGAGAGAGAGAGAGAGAGACAAATGGAAAAAGCAGAGAAATGTCACAAGGGTGCCATGCTTTCTTACCTGACCTTAGGACTATTTTTAGAAATGTAACAAGGAAAAGAAACAAGGAGAAATAGAAAGCAAAGAATCAGACAGTTAAAAAAGCACAATGCTGTAGCTAGATGACACAGGCATTTCATGTAACCCATAATGTAGTGTTAGCCTCAGATTGTCACAGAAATCCATGTGTAGTCTGGCTATCTATAATGACTGAGTTCAAAGAACACCGTCGGCCAGGGTGAGTTGTGAGTCACGTTTCTTTCAGAGTGGCTTGCTGTACAGTCTGAACCTGCCCAGAAAGTGTGTGCTTAACAAGCCATGTTGCTGGGGTTCAGACAAGTGACAAGCCATTCTGACACAACCCTGGGCCACAGCCTACCGTGGCTTATCGTGCTGTGTTGTACCAATGGAGTTCAACCTGTGTTCTAGGGCATGAGTGGCAAGACAGTTGATCTCCAGATGTTTTGGACTTCAACACCTTGGATTCCTAGCCATTGGCCATACTGGCGTGAAGATCTGGCAAGCGAAGTTCAAAACTTCTGGGGATGTCAAGTCTACCCACCCCATTCTAGGGAATTCTGAGGTTCCTACGAAACTTACCAAGTACTCCTCAATGAGAAGATCAGTAATGGCAGAGAAGGACAGCTTCCGCCTCCATTGCTGATTTTCCACTATTGGGATAAGCTTTAGCACACTGACATAGCATGTACAAATGCTGTCCTGTTTCATCTTTGGCATCTCCAATGAGAAGGACCTTGGATGATGGTAAAAGTCTGAAGAGCTGCTAAGCTGGGCTAGTTCAGGGGCGGGCAATGTGCCCCCCCCCCATGGGTGCTAGTAGTTGTAGGGTAGGGGAAAATCCCAAAACAAACTAAATTGGCCCTTTTTAGCAATCTCCAGCAGTTTGTCACACAATTTTGGTGGCCAGCTGCTGATTTTCTTTTTACATCCACTCTGTGGAGGGCTGCCTCCCCAGACGGAGGTCCATGGGCAGAAATGGCCTCTGAACCTCCCCCAGGTGCCCACCCCTGGGCTGGATGGACAAACAGTCGCACAGTTTATGTGGGATGACATGCCTGTCCAACCGGCTCCAGAGTATGCCTCAGAACCACCATGGGGGTCTCCACGGCAGATGATATGGGAAGGGCTCCCACTGAACAGTCACTGTTAGATGCAAGACTTTCAGAAGGCCCAGTCCTGCAAGCACATCTGTGCATTCATCTCAGTAGTGTCAAGCGGGGATTGCAACTCCCAGATGCCATTGGGTGCCAAGTTTTTCCTCTGAGTGTAGATATTGCAGGTGCAAACACGTGAGCTACATGTCAGATACTGCAGGTGCAAACCTGAGCTACACGGTGACCAATAATGGAAGTATGTGAATGCTAAGGCTCTATCAAAGGCATGTGAAGCAGTAGAGCCCACTAAGGATTTCCATTCAATAGGAGAAAGTTCAGTCGTCATGCATTAACTTCCCATTAACATCTGCCGGATGGGTAGTTACGGGAAGTCTTCGAGATCCACTACCTACTAATTATTAGTAAGATTAATTTTGCTAAGCTTAATTCTACATTGACTGAACTTGATGCGATTTGAACAAGTCCTGTTTATCTTGCTTCGGATGTTTTCTAGGCACAGAATGGAAGTGAAAGTTCAATAAAGGATGAAAAGGGCTGATTTACAGTGAAGCAAGAGAATGTGGGGCAAAATTAGGGGACAGCCATCATAATCAAAGCTCCAAAGACGCAAACATCTAAATTTTACTTTGTGGGAGGTGGCACTCCCTGTTAGACAATGAAATAACTTTTTACAACAGATCATTAAACTATAGGAAAATGCCCTCAGGGCTCAGGCTTGTGAGGTTTAATTATTAGCTTCAAAATAATTCTACTGTCCACAAGCAGGCTGCTAATCCACATCTGTGGAAATAATCTCTGAATGACTCGTGGTGTCTCGTTTGGTTCAGGTATTAGATGAGGCAAGAAACCTGAAGCTGAAACACCCAATAATATACATGTTTTCATGTCTGGAAATGCAAAGGTGGCAACCAGTCAAGTAAAACCTAAGACCTATTTTTTCTCCCTTGCAAGAAAGCGGCCTTTGGTGACAAAACATTGCAAAGATTTAAGGATAAATGTATCATTTTGCAAGCAAATTTACCCCCACCTTAAAAAAATAAACATTATTTGAGATTTGTATGCTCTAGGGAACAAACAAAAACAAAAAAACAAACTGGATCAGCCACATAACCATTCCTCCTTTTTCTTCCCCAGCGTGAGCCTTTGTTGTTCCGTGTGTGTGTGTGTGTGTGTGTGTGTGTGTGCTGAGCATCACTAAAAATTACAATCAACTGTTTGAACAAAAGTTTTTTTCCCTGCCCTGGCTAAATGATCCTGGTAGGCTAAACAGTCTGGCTCATAAATAGAGGCTTCCAGCTGTTTCCAAAGGAGCACTTCTGACATATCAAAAGCATGAGCAGATTGTGGGGTGGGGGTCGGGGGGGGGGAATGAAGACGTAATATGCTCTGTATTATCGCCATAGCAAAGCCAACATGGAAGGCATGGAGATGCACGAGGCACTAAATAGAAGCACATCTTAAAGACGGAGAGAAACCAGGCAGCCAAATTATGGGAAATGGTTTAGCTTTTGAAAAAGGGTACACGTGATCAAACACACCAGGTCGGGGCATTTGTTGTCAAATGCATAAATGAAAAACATGCTGAATACCTGGCCGAACGGGCACCTAGGCTGAAGCCCATGTATCCTTCTGCAGGCAAAGAATCATCTCCCAGTTCTTTTAGATCTTGTGGCCCAAGATATTTGTCTGTGTCTCCTGTCATGGCATCTTCACCTGCCACCACAAAAACAGGCTCCAATCAGAAACTACACAAAGCTGAATGTTTGATTTAGCCAATGCACACCATCCTTCAGCGTGGTTCCTAGATTGTCAGCTCTCTGGTTTTGCCTGCTATTGCATTCTAAATGTCAGTTACCAGTTATCCGCATGACTTTTCCCACTAAAGAATCCTTTCAGGAATTAATATATACTTAAGCGTGAAGAATGACATTTATCCCTGTAAATCCGGTAGTTTAGCAGGTTACATCAGGTGTGATACTAGACACTTTAACAATCTCAGTCAGAAGTGAAACAAACAGGAGGTTTTCATTAACCTGTAATACCCTGGTCAGAAACTAATTTCGTGGGAAGACCACTGTGAGGACTGAATCAAGAATGGTGAGCCCAACTGATACCATAAATGCAGAGTAAACGATTTGAGAATAATATTCATGAGAAACCAGAGAATAAGAGATTAATAGAATTTTAGAGGCCAACCACCCAGAAATGACCTACTAGCTCACCCCATTACCAAAGATTCAAGTGCAGCATTGCTCTTTCATCTCTGAATTGGTAACAGGGGTGAAACAAAAAACAAAATACCATAAAGGGCTGGATTTGGATTCAAATAGTAAACTCTGGTTGCTGATCCCTAATCTGAAACCTTTGCACAGAAAACCTCTCTTCCAACATTGCCCCTCACCTCCTGAGCAAAGCTAAAGCTTACAAAATGAAGAAAAATTAATCTTCCACATTCAACAACATTGATTCCATTAGTGCTTCCCACATATAATTTGTACCTTCCTTTGCTTCATGGTTGAATTAGGTGTTCAAGATCACCATTACTGTCCAGTTCTCATTAACCAGGGTTTTAAAGCCAACTTCCAGTCCTGGTTATAACCAATGGCAACATAATCCTTAATCATAGAGAAAGAATGGTTTTTGTAGATTCTGGGCCCTATTTATTTGTGACAGAATCCAAATATTCAATGAGAATTTGGGAGAATGAGACTTGTCATTTTCATTAACACCTCTATTTGACTCATGGCATGAATATGGGTTATAGATAGAAATTTAGGAAGCAGCAGAGCTGAGAATACCCTCAGCGAATTTAGAAAAGATGATGTAAAAGTCACCTTATTATAGCTACGTCTCTCCAAGAGCCAACCAAGAATTCACCTTTCCCAGCTGAGTTCACAAAGTGTTGGGCAAACCGCATTGCAAAGGACACAAATCCTCCATCGGGATCTTTCTCCTCCCAAAAGCACAAGTTTATGGTTATATTCCAGTCACCCAAACTGCTATGCTATGCTCACCATGGCAGCAGGGAACATACGTACTTATGTTTCACCTTCTTCCCTTAAAGGGACTCAAGCCAGCTTGCACAATTTTCCTCCCTGCACTCTTATCCTCATAGCACCAACCTTGTGAGGTAGACTGGGCTGAGAGTCTGTGACTGGCCCAAAGTCACCCACTGATCTGCAAGGCTGAGTAAGGACTAGAACCCAGAATTCCTGGGAACTCATTCTTGCTCTCTAAACTACTACACCACACTGGTTCTCTCTTTGGTGAAATTCAGCAAAATAAGACAAGCCTGAAATAAAAAGATAAATAATAATAAAAGAGTAAATATCTATATAGTGCATGGATTTGAATTTACTGGCTTCTTTTATATGGATGTGCAAGATATTCAAGTCCTCTCCAGGAACACTTGGCAAAACAGCAGTGGATTGCGTACATATAGCCAAACGTGTTGTTGTGTGTTTATTTGTGAAAGATGGGGCTGCCTTTGACTTGGAAGGCTCAGAAAGCGATGTTTACAAGGTGAGTTGAGCTGCTGTTGCTGCTTTAAACATCTCAGAAAAATACAACGGTGCAACACCTGCCCATGAAAACCGTGGTATCTGGAAGGTATGAAAGCATTGCTTATGAATATTCCACAGCTCTCCAAGTTCAGTCATAGGTGTTACATATTCCACATGCATCTCTCCTCCCCCTAAGAGTTAGCTAAACCCCCTCAGATTATAAGATCCAAATGATATTTGAATCAGTACTCAAACACAGCTTCTACAGGCAACACAACTTTGGACAGGGCCCACTTCACATTTAAAGATATGTATTATGTCCCCATGTAAGTAAAACATCACCTTGAAGCTGCGCTAAGATAGCTCTCATATAGAATATCAGCCCTACTAGTTGCCCAATGCAATTCCTGTTTTCCTAGGCTTCCTTAAACATCATATTGCTAGCAACACAAGCGGATCCTTTAACATAGAAAGTACAGCAGCGGAGCCATGGAAGGGTTAACAAAAACCATCTTACTTTCTCCAGCCTAATCTACACCCCATTATGTCATGGTCAAAACTACATTCCAACAGTGAGAAAGATATTCTAAAATAGACTCTTGCAGTTTTAGGGTCCTGTTTTTGCCCCCTGCTTAATTTGGAGTCGCTCACTCCATGCATACGTCCACCCCTTCCCTTTTTGGGTAAATGTTTGGACGGCCCCGAAGTTGCACAACTCAAAGCACGCATTTTACGCGGCGCGTCCCCAGCCACACGCCCGCTTTCTCACCCCACGTCTACGGTTTTGCAGAGTTTAGATTAACTATTCCTTCGCGGGTGGGGGGGAAGCAAACGAACGAGGCCCCACTCTTAAGCTACCGCAGTTCTAAAAATACCCACTTCATCTAGCTACTGCCTCGCAAAGGACAAAATAACAGATCGACTTACTTCCTGCAGCCGAGCACCCATAATTACTTTAAATCGCCATTCTTAAAACTTTCTTAAATCGCCATTCTTAAAGTCTATCTGAAATATTTTGCAAGAGAACACAAAAACAGGGAAAAATGAAAAACACATTAAATACTAAGGTAGAAAGGTCTTACTGTTTTGGAAAGCCATTTTCACCCGCTTGGTCTACAAAACTTTTCCCCCCCTTTCTCTTGATGTTTCCAGGAATTTCTATTAGTCCTACTAGTCTTTAAGCAGCGATTTATAGTTAATCTTCAAACCGGTATAAGAACCTAATCTCTGTGGGTCATATTCACTTTCCACACACCAGCGGTGCTCTTCTTAACATCTTGAACTCTTCCAGTGCGCGCATTTTACGAAAAGCGCGCCTTTCTCCTCTGAAGCCCAGAAAAGCGGGGCTCCTTCCAAAGGAAACGCAAAACAAAAAAGCCAAAATTGACAGCTGCTGCTGGAGGCAAAGATCCCATAAAAAGCAAAGCAAACCAAAACAACCTCCCCCACTCTACATCCTTGCAAAAAGTCTTCTGATTGGATTGCAAACTTCTCTGGCAAGCCTCTAACAAGACGACTGAATGGTGACATGCAGGCAAGGCTTGAGTTATTTGTATGTAAATCAGGGCGCAGCTTGGGTGTCACGGTTTTTTCTTCTTCTCCCTGTAATCTGAGACGAACCCTTCTAGGTTAAACTTGCAGGCACTGGGACAGGCTGAAATCGCACTGCAACAACTCATCGCTGGAGGGAAGGGGATGGTTCTGCCAAAATTATCTCAGTAACTTTTGCAGGGGCCAAGAGAGAGAAGCCGAGTGGCGGAGCCCACAGCGGGAGCTCGAGAGGAAACAAACCCGGCAGCATTTCTTCCAGGTATCTTCAGGTGCAAGGATCTTTTCTGCCTTCGGAAAGCAGGAACCTGGCCAATATCCACCTCCCAGAACGAAGATGAGGGTAACCTGCACGCTGAGCCAGAACAGGTGTGGAAGGAGGTGACTTTTCCCTTCCCCCCAAGCCCGACCAGTCCCACCCCAGAGCCGCTGGTGATGAGGGAGGCCTTTTACTAGAGCTGGCCTAGTTGATCATTAACTTAAGCAAGGTGTGCATTTCAGGCCACAATAAAAGGGAGAGAACACCAACTTGTCTGCACCACGGAGCTTCCCAGGAGGAAAGTCGGAAGGTCTTTGTGCAGTGCTGGAAGGTGTGGTTCAGCCAGAAGATTGTACACGCTCAACAGGTGCAGTTTGCATCCTGCCCCCATGATCTAAACATGCTGCTGTGCCCTGGATATAAGACCAGGATTAGCTTCCCAATGGTGCTGGCTTTGGATAATGTGGCACTGTCCAACTTACTCGGCTCCTAGATCTTATGGACATTCCCGATTTCTGGAATTCTGGCCTTCTTTTCAAAGTTAGATTTTGCTGGGAAAATTTGGATAAATCCTGGCAGAAAAACATTGCTTATATGTGCTTTTGTGTTATAAAATCAAACCTGCACTCTTTCTCAAAAGCATTGGCTTTCCAAGCCAAGTCACTGTTTAATATTGCTGTTGTCTTAAGAAAATGGCACTCCCTCCCGCTCCCTTCCACCCTCTGGCTATGGGCAAAGAGCAGACTGGAAGAATTTGGTTTTCCATTCAGTCGAATATACAATCACCGCTACAATGTTGCTGCATTGTCCCTGCAGGAATTCAGTTTACCAGGAAGTATCTATTTTGTTAGCCCAGAGCTACATTGTCCCTGCAGGAATTCAGTTTACCGGGAAGTATCTATTTTGCTAGCCCAGAGCGCTTCCCATGCTATAGCTAATCAGAAAGGTGTGGATCCATTATTCAGGGTCTGAGTCTTCCTGATAATGGAATGTAATACATGAGCTTATGATTTCAGGGATGATTTCTTAATAGCTTGAATTTACATGTCTAAGCAGACCCAGAGATGGGTTCAAGTTTCTGGAATTTACTCAACTCACATGTCAATACACTGCAATTAGAAATACTGTCCCTTGTATTTTTGGCTGATCTTCCTTAACTGTTCTGTACATGATGACCTCAGAATTTCATTGTAATGTCTGCATTCTGTCATTAATTGCTCTGTACATGACCAGGAGAGTATAAAATGCTCTGTACTTGTACTGAAACCTTGTAGGTGAGTTTGCCTCTGCCCCATAATGCATCATCGTGAGTAGAACCTGCAGGGAAGCTGGGACTTAAATGTCAATAAAGCAGCAGAGGTTCAAACGTCTGATCTTTCCCATGAACCCGAGTTTTTATTTCC